TATTTGTCGTGTCCTGTAGATATTTTGGGAAGATGGGATCATCTCCGGCTACCGTCACCCCAAAAGTTCAGCACTGGATTGTGTCCTCAGCTCCTTCCAACTCAACAACGAAACCATCAACATCTGGACGCATTTCCTGCCGACGTGGTGAGCCAAAGAAGCGCATTGCCCAATCCATAATGGCGTGCTCTTGGGGATGATGGGCAATGTGGTCCTCTTGTTCCACAATGGCCAAGGTGGGTTCCAAACATCTCCAGGGTTCCTCTGCCTCTCGTCTGCAGGTACTTCTTGTGGCGCTTCCTGGGGTTGTCCTATAGCCTGGATTTCTCCTGCGATGCGTACAGCTGGCCCTTCCTGGCCTACATGTGGCTGGTCTGCCTCTACCCCTTCACCTCCTGCTGCGCCCACACCTTCAGCACCATGTCCGCCCACGCCAGGCACATCTGCTACTTCTTGGACTATGGGGCCCTCAGCCTCTACAGCTTGGGTGAGCCCTTGGGGAAGGAAGGCCTTCCTTGGCCACAGAGCCATAGGCTGACCATGGGTTGGCCATTCAACCATAGAACTATAGGTCAACCAAAGAGTTCTGGGTCAACCAGAGAGCCATAGCTTGACCATACAGCCATGGGTTGACCATAGAACTATAGGTCAACCAAAGAGTTCTAGATCAACCAATAAGGTCTAGGTCAATCAAAGTGTTAGGTCAACCAGAGAGCCGTAGTTTGACCATACAGCCATGAGTTGATCATAGAACTATAGGTTAGCCAGAGTTCTAGGTCAACCAAAAAGGTCTAGGTCAATCAAAGTTAGGTCAACCAGAGAGCCATAGCTTGACTATACAGCCATGGGTTGACCATAGAACTATAGGTCAACCAAAGAGTTCAAGATCAACCAACAAGTACTAGGTCAACCAAAGAGTGTTAGGTCAACCAGAGAGCCATAGACTGACCATATAGCCATGGGTTGACCATAGAACTATAGGTCAACCAAAGAGTTCTAGATCAACCAACAAGGTCTAGGTCAATCAAAGAGTGTTAGGTCAACCAGAGAGCCATATTTTGACCATACAGCCATAGGCTGATCATCGAGTGATAGGTTGATCATAGAACTATAAGTCAACCAAAGAGTTCTAGGTCAACCAGAGAGCCATAGACTGACCATACAGCCATGGGTTGATCATTCAGCCATAGCTTGGCCTTTCAGTGGTACATTGACCATAGAACCATAGGTTCAGCAGAGAGGTATGACTCAACTAGAGAGTAATAGGTTGACCATAAATCCATAGGTTCATCATTCAGCCACGAGTCAACCATAGAACCATTGGTTCAGCAGAGAGTTATAGGTCAAGCTGACAGCAAAAGGTTGACCATAAATCCATGGGTTCATCATTCAGTCATGGATTGACCATAGAACCATGGGTTTACCATTCAGTCATTATTTTACTTTTCAGTGATAAGTTCACCATAGAACTATAGGTCAACCAAAGTTTTAGGTCAACAATGGAGCCATAGCTTGACTATACAGCCATGGGTTGACCATAGAACTATAGGTGAAGCAACAAGTTCTAGGTCAATCAGAGTGTTAGATCAAGCAGAGAGCCATAGCTTGACCATACAGCCATAGGCCGATCATTGATAGGTTGACCATAGAACTAAGTCAACCAAAGAATTCTAGGTCAACCAACAAGTTCTAGGTCAATCAAAGAGTGTTAATTCAGTCAGAGAGCAATCGTTTGACCATACAGCCATAGGCAGATCATTGAGTGATAGGTTGACCATAGAACTATAGGTCAACCAAAGAGTTCTAGGTCAACCAACAAGTTCTAGTTCAATCAAAGAGCATTAGGTCAACCAGAGAGCAATCGTTTGACCATATAGCCATAGGCTGATCATCGAGTGATAGGTTGACCATAAAACTGTAGGTCAACCCAAAAGTTCTAGGTCAACCAACAAGTTCTAGGTCAATCAAAGAGTGTTACGTCAACCAGAGAGCCATACAGCTATAGGCTGATCATTGAGTGATAGGTTGACTATAGGTCAACCAAAGAGTTGTAGGTGAACCAGAGAGCTATCGACTAACCATACAGTCATGGGTTGACATAGAACTATAGGTTCAGCAGAGAGCTATAGGTCAACTAGAGAGCAATAGGTTGACCATAAAGCCATGGGTTGACCGTTAGAGGCATTGTTTAGGAAAGATATGGGATCCCTTTCCCTATAAGCAACATTTCTTTCTACGTTCACAGGTTGCGCTTTCACGTACGGGGCCTACGCCATGCCCGACCGCTGGGTCAGCAGCACTTTGCACTACTATTTCGTCCCCGTGGCCGCCCTGAACTCCTTTGTCTGCACCAGTCTCTCCTGTTACTCCCGGTACGTTGGGTGGATGGCCCTTGTGAGAAGGCTCTTGGGGTCTTAGTAGACCAAAATTTGAACACGAGCCAAGAGTGTGATGCAGCAGCAACAGAAGCCAATGCGATTCTTGGATGTTATTTGGATTGTTCTGCTCTGCGTTTGATCCCAATCCCAATCTCTTTCTTGCTTTCCAGATTCCTTGAACTCGAGTCCCCTCATCTCAGCAAGATCGCAAGGACGGCGGCTTTCCTTTACCCATTCATCTTTGACAACATACCACTCTTCTACCGGGTATAACAACAACAACATCAACAACAACAATAACAATAATATAATTTTATTTCTTACCCGCCTCTCTTCATGGCTTGAATCATTTCAAAGCTCTCTGCTTGAGCGGTGATGGCATGATCGTCAGCATAGATGAAACTATCTCTTCTGGCAGTGGCTGGTCATTTGTGTTAATGTTAAACATGAGGAACTGTATTAAGAGGCATTAGGAAGATTGAGAAACAGTGACCTAAAGCCTCGAAGAGCTTCTGTTCAGCCATTTCAAAGCTCTCTGCTTGGGTGGTGATGGCAAGATCGTCAGCATAGATGAAACTCTGGCAGTTGATTGTCATTTGTGTAAATGTTAAACATGAGGAACTGTATTAAGGGGCCGCAGCAGTAGGAAGGTTGAGAAACTAAAGTTTTGGAAAGCTTCTTTCAGCCATTTCAAAGCTCTCTGATTGAGCGGTGATGGCATGGTCGTCAGCATAGATGAAACTATCTCTTCTGGCAGTGGCTGGTCATTTGTGTAAATGTTAAACATGAGGAACTGTATTAAGAGGCATTAGGAAGGTTGAGAAACAGTGACCTAAAGCTTTGGAGAGCTTCTGTTCAGCCATTTCAAAGCTCCCTGCTTGAGCGGTGATGGCAGTGTCGTCAGTGTATATGAAACTCTCTGCCCCTTCTGGCAGTGGCTGGTCATTAGTGTAAATGTTGAACATGGATGGAGCAATCACGCTCCCTGGAGGCAGGCCGTTCTTCTGTTTCCGCCATCTGCTTCTCTGACCCTGGAACTCAACATAAAAGCTCCTGTTTTGTAGCAGATTTCCTATGAAGTGGGTGAGGTGGTCATCCTTTGTGATATTATGCATTTTTCTCAGGAGGAGGTAACGATTTAGCAGTATAAGAATTATTTTCCATGTTTTGATGACAGAACCAATTAGGAAATGAGCTTCTGTTCAATATCTCAAAGCTACCTGCTTGAGTGGTGATGGCATGATCGTCAGCGTAGATGCAATTCTCTGTCCCTTCTGGCGATTGCAGAACCAATTAGGAAACGACACCTATAACCCAGGAACAAAAGAGAAAGAGAGAGATGAGTTGAGTAATGCCCTTCCTTTGCTGCCAACTGAGCCGTTCCCGCTTGCCTTTCAGCTGCTGTTCTGTTTCGGGGAGGATTGCACTTGGAACGACTCGGTGCCCGGCTACTTCTACCACCTCTTCTTTGCGGCCCTCACCGGCTTCCTCTTTGCCTCCCATTTGCCTGAACGCCTGGCCCCTGGGCGCTTCGATTTCATCGGTGAGCTCAAGGCGGGTGAACTGGGACCCCTTATATATTATATTATACTACTCCTCCAAACTGGAATAGGATGTAGAGTGGGTCATGGGGACTCTGAGTGCCAAGTTTGGTCTTTATTGGTCATTGGATTAGGGTTGCAGTAGTCTCAGGATGTGAGTGAAGGTACTGCAAGTCCCATCATCCATGGTCTGCCCTCCTCCAAACTGCAGTAGGATGTAGAGTGGGTCATGGGGACTCTGTGTGCCAAGTTTGGTCTTTATCGGTCATTGGCTGAGGGTCGCAGTGCTCTCAGGATGTGAGTGAAGGTACTGCAAGTCCCATCATCCGTGGTCCGCCTTCCTCCAAACTGCAGTAGGATGTAGAGTGGGTCATGGGGGCTCTGTGTGCCAAGTTTGTTCTTTATCGGTTATTGGATGAGGATCGCAGTAATCTCAGGATGTGAGTGAAGATACTGCAAGTCTCATCATCCATTGTCCAGCCTCCCCCAAATCTTACCAGGATGTAGAGTGGGTCATGGGGGCTCTGTTTGCCAAGTTTGGTCTTTATCGGTCATTGGATGAGGGTTGCAATAGTCTCAGGATGTGAGTGAAGGTACTGCAAGTCCCATCATCCATGGTCTGCCCTCCTCCAAACTGCAGTAGGATGTAGAGTGGGTCATGGGGGCTCTGTGTGCCAAGTTTGGTCTTTATCGGTCATTGGATGAGGGTCGCAGTAGTCTCAGGATGTGAGTGAAGGTACTGCAAGTCCCATCATCCATGGTCCGCCTTCCTCCAAACTCCAGTAGGATGTAGAGTGGGTCATGGGGGCTCTGTGTGCTAAGTTTGGTCTTTATCGGTCATTGGATTAGGGTTGCAGTTCATGGGGCCTCTGTGTGCCAAGTTTGGTCTTTATCGGTCATTGGATGAGGGTCGCAGTAGTCTCAGGATGTGAGTGAAGGTATTGCAAGTCCCATCATCCGTGGTCCGCCTTCCTCCAAACTGCAGTAGGATGTAGAGTGGGTCATGGGGGCTCTGTGTGCTAAGTTTGGTCTTTATTGGTCATTGGATTAGGGTTGCAGTTCATGGGCCTCTGTGTGCCAAGTTTGGTCTTTATCGGTCATTGGATGAGGGTTGCAGTAGTCTCAGGATGTGAGTGAAGGTATTGCAAGTCCCATCATCCGTGGTCCGCCTTCCTCCAAACTCCAGTAGGATGTAGAGTGGGTCATGGGGGCTCTGTGTGCTAAGTTTGGTCTTTATTGGTCATTGGATTAGGGTTGCAGTTCATGGGCCTCTGTGTGCCAAGTTTGGTCTTTATCGGTCATTGGATGAGGGTTGCAGTAGTCTCAGGATGTGAGTGAAGGTATTGCAAGTCCCATCATCCGTGGTCCGCCTTCCTCCAAACTCCAGTAGGATGTAGAGTGGGTCATGGGGGCTCTGTGTGCTAAGTTTGGTCTTTATCGGTCATTGGATTAGGGTTGCAGTTCATGGGGCCTCTGTGTGCCAAGTTTGGTCTTTATCGGTCATTGGATGAGGGTCGCAGTAGTCTCAGGATGTGAGTGAAGGTACTGCAAGTACCATCATCCATTGTCTGTCCTCCCCCAAACCTAACCAAGACATTAAGGGGGGGTTCTGGGGGTTATGTGTGTCAAGTTTGGTCCAGGTCCGTCACTTGGGGAGGTGCTCTTGTTCCGTTTCCAAACTGAGGAGCCTGTTGTCCGTAGACGTCTTCTGGTCATGTTCTGCTAGCAAGGTTGCATGGGGGCGCTAAAGCGGTGTGGCAGCTGTTAGGAGAAAAATAAAATAATAATCATAATTTAAAATGAACAGATGGTCTTACCTAGATTCAGACGGTTCAGAGGAGATTTTGCAGAGTAAGATGACTGTTCTAAAGGACATGTTTATACAAGCCGAATGTTTACTCTAAGCTGAATGTTGACCACAAACCTGGCAGCACATAGAAAATCAATAAATATCGATCCAAAACTTGGAACATCTAAGGTCATATGGTGAGAGAGCGCCATCTCCTGACTATTTAATGTAAATAGCAGGCAATTTTAGAAACTCTTTTATTTTAAACAAGTTTCTTTGGTTTTCATATTAACAACTAAATAATTGAGGCTGAATTTAACTAAAAGGAGATTGCCTTGATCAAATCTTATGTTATAAATATATAAAACTATAAATCATTAAGAGATCAAGGAAATTAAGACCAATTGAACATGTCATCTGGAAATAAGGGGTAAAAGGTTAATAGTTATATAAAGTGGGCAAATGTTTGGGGTCATAATGATCTTGCCAAAAGAGTGTCCTTGGCAACTATACATGAAGAACAACTGTTAATGATTGTACTGTGTAAATGTCAGGTCATTTCTGCGCATATGTAAACCAGTGACTTTATGCTATAAATACTGAAGCAAGTCTGACTTCCAACTTGTGGCAGACATTGTGATCTGTACACCCTATCTTGCTTGATAGTAAAGCCTGAAATCGACTGCTATCTCCGTTCTTTTCCTTCCTGATTGTGCTCTAAATGATCTCGGGTAACGTATATTCCGCAACAGCGGTACCTATTGATCTACTCACATTGGCATGTTTTTGAACTGCTAGGTAGGCAGGTACTAGGCCTAACAGTGAGAGCTCACCTTGAACTGCCAACCTTTAGAGTCTAGGATCCACAACACGCCACGAAACCAGTCCTCACTGCCCTTTTCTTTGCATCCCAGGCCACAGCCACCAGCTCTTCCACATCTGTGCCGTGGTCGGCACCCACTTCCAGCTGGAGGCCGTCCTGCGGGACCTCCACTCGCGGCGGGAATTCCTCGGCCTCCATGCGCCGCCGGTCATCTTTACCCAGACGTTTGCCGTCCTGGGCCTGGCTCTGCTGGGCAACGGACTCCTCATCGCCGCCTTCACCCTCCTCCTCTGCCGCTCCGCAGGCTCCACATCCATCCTCCAGAACAACGTCTCGGAGGCAGAAGCCAAGGAGAAGTGAGACACTCACTACAGACTACAAGGCCTTGGAGAGGTGGGGACGATGGGTGCTGGAGTCCAAAGCGTCACGCCGTCGCACTTTATACCTCAGTCTCAATGCGGGGTCCCAAACCGTCCCATATTTAGTGCCCACTGCTCTCTGTTTGGTTTGTTTTTCAAATTAGCACTTTAACTCATGGGCTCGAGGCGTACGCACCTGCACCTACGCTGTCGAACGACAACACCCAGGATTCCGTAGTTGCGGCAGTTGTAAGTGGTGTCAAACTGCATTAAGTCTACAGTGTAGAACAGGGATTGGCAAACTCTGACCCTCCAGATATTTTGGACTTCAACTCCCACAATTCCTAGCACTTTGACTCTTGGGCTCGAGACGTACGCACCTGCACCTACACTGTCGAACGAATGGAATTTTAATACTGCTTCAAAAGTTGTGGCAGTTGTAAGTGGGGTCAAACTGGATTAAGTCTACAGTGTAGAAAAGGCCTTGGGCACTTTGACTCTTGGGTTCAGACGTACGCACCTGCACCTACTCTGTCGAACGAATGGAGTTTTAACACTGCTTCAAAAACTATAGAATCCTGGGAGTTGTAGCTTCGCCAAGCCTTGACTCTTCCCTGCCACTGAGGACCAAACGACAACACCCAAGATTCCATAGTTGTGGCAGTTGTAAGTGGTGTCAAACTGCATTAAGTCTACAGTATAGAACAGGCCTTGGCAAACTCTGACCCTCCAGATATTTTGGACTTCAACTCCCACAATTCCTAGCACTGACTCTTGGGCTCGAGACGTACGCACCTGCACCTACTCTGTCGAACGAATGGAATTTTAATACTGCTTCAAAAGTTGTGGCAGTTGTAAGTGGTGTCAAACTGCATTAAGTCTACAGTGTAGAACAGGCCTTGGCAAACTCCGACCCTCCAGATATTTTGGACTTCAACTCCCACAATTCCTAGCACTTTGACTCTTGGGCTCGAGACGTACGCACCTGCACCTACTCTGTCGAACAAATGGAATTTTAATACTGCTTCAAAAGTTGTAGCAGTTGTAAGTGGTGTCAAACTGCATTAAGTCTACAATGTAGAACAGGCCTTGGCAAACTCTGGCCCTCCAGATATTTTGGACTACAACTCCCACAATTCCTAGCACTTTGACTCTTGGGCTCGAGACGTACGCACCTGCACCTACACTGTCGAACGAATGGAGTTTTAACACCGCTTCAAAAACTATAGAATCCTGGGAGTTGTAGTTTCGCCAAGCCTTGACTCTTCTCTGCCATCGAGGGCCAAACGATAACACCCAGGATTCCGTAGTTGTGGCAGTTGTAAGTGGTGTCAAACTGCATTAAGTCTACAGTGTAGAACAAGCATGGGCAAACTCTGGCCCTCCAAATGTTTTGGACTTCAACTCCCACAATTCCTAGCACTTTGACTCTTGGGCTCGAGACGTACGCACCTGCACCTACACTGTCGAATGGAATTGAATTTTGGACTTCAACTACCACAATTCCTAACAGCCTACCGGGGGGGGGGGGGGGGATCTGTAAGTCGCTGGACTACAATTCCCATCAGCCCCGTGGATGGTGGGATTTGTAGTCTAACGAGAGCCGAAAGTGTATGAAGGAGTGGTGGAAGGGAATGGGGTCAGTACGAGTGGTGGTTTGAGCGCTCGACGATGGCCCTGGTTTCAGATCTCATTCGAGTGGGAGCCACACTCTCTCAGCCTCAGAGGAAAGCCACGGGGAAGCAAGCCGGCCACGAAAACGTGGTGATCATCCTCGGGGAAAGGTGTTTGTTAGATTTGAAAGGTTTTTTGGTATGTGTTCTTTTGGGGCAACGACTTAGAGCTGGGCCTTGTCCACACTTTAGAATTAACACAGTTGGAGGGTTCAGAATGCTCTTTGATTGAAGGTGAACTATAAATCCCAGCAACTACAACTACCAAATGTCAAGGTCTAATTCCTCTAAACTCCACCAGTGTTCACATTTGGGCATATTGAGTATCCATGCCAAGTTTAATCCAGATACATCACTGTTTGAGTCTACAGTTCTCTCTGGATGTAGGTGAACTACAACTCCCAAACTCAAGGTCAATGCCCACCCAAGTATTTTCTGTTGGTCAGGGGAGTCCTGTGTGCCAAGTTTGGTTCAATTCCATCGTTGGTGGAATTCAGAATGCTCTTTGATGTAGGTGAACTATAAATCCCAGCAACTACAACTCCCAAATGGCCAAGGTCTAATTCCCCTAAACTCCACCAGTGTTCACATTTGGGCATATTGAGTATCCATGCCAAGTTTAATCCAGATACATCACTGTTTAACTCTCTGGATGTAGGTGAACTACAACTCCCAAACTCAAGGTCAATGCCCATCAGACCCTTCCAGTGTTTTCTGTTGCTCATGGGAGATTTTGTGTTCCAAGTTTGGTGCAATTCCACTGTTGGTGGCATTCAGAATGCTCTTTGATTGTAGGTGAACTATAAATCCCAGCAACTACAACTCCAAAATGTCAAGGTCCATTTTTCCCAAACTCCTCCAGTGTTCACATTTGGGAATACTGCGTATCCATGCCCAGTTTGGTCCAGATCCATCACTGTTTGAGTCCACAGTTCTCTCTGGATGTAGGTGAACTATAACTCCCAAAATCAAGGTCAATGCCCATCAAACCCTTCCAGTATTTTCTGTTAAGGGTTTGAGTGTCTGTGTGCCAAGCCTGGTTCAATTCCACTGTTGGTGTTCATAATGCTCTTGGATTGAAGGTGAACTATAAATCCTGGCAACTACAACTACCAAATGTCAAGGTCTAATTCCCCTAAACTCCACCAGTGTTCACATCTGGGCATATTGAGTATCCATGCCAAGTTTAATCCAGATACATCACTGTTTGAGTCTCTGGATGTAGGTGAACTACAACTCCCAAACTCAAGGCCAATGCCCGTCAGACCCTTCCAGTATTTTCTGTTGGGCATGGAATTTTCTGTGTGCCAAGTTTAATTCAATTCCACTGTTGGTGTTCATAATGCTCTTGGATTGACGGTGAACTATAAATCCCAGCAACTACAACTCCCAAATGTCAAGGTCTATTTTCCCCAAACTCCACCAGTGTCAGATTTGGGCATGTTGAGTATTTGTGCCAAGATTGGTCCAGATCCATCATTGTTTGAGTCCACAGTGCTCTTTGATTTTAGGCGAACTATAAATCCCAGCAACGACAACTCCCAAATGTCAAGGTCTACCTTCCCCAAACTCCACCAGTGTTCACATTTGTGCAGATTGAGTATCCGTGCCAAGTTTGGTCCAGATCCATCATTGTTTGAGTGACAGCTGGCGCTGTCGGTAGCCCAGCCTTTACATTGGTATGAACTGCAGCAGGGAGTTCCGCAGTTCCTGGGCCAGGTTTTGGGGCCAGCAGATGGAATGTGCCTCAGCCGCCAGCTCCAAGGCCAGAGGTGCCTGCAACCTCAGCTAACTCTCTCTCAGCTGGCGCAGCCGGTAGCCCAGCCTTTACATTGGTATGAACTGCAGCAGGGAGTTCCGCAGTTCCTGGGCCGAGTTTGGAGGCCAGCAGATGGGATGTGCCTCAGCCGCCAGCTCCAAGACCAGGAATGCCTGCAACCTCAGCTAACTTTCCCTCTCCCTTTACTTTGTATCATTCCCCAATAAAACACTTGAAACTTGAAACTTTCTATCTTCCTGCATGCTACTCTTGTATCCCCTCCTGGCTCAACACCCCACGAACACTACCATAAACTCCTTCCTGGGCTCCGGAGGGCCGTGAGTCCGCGGGGGGCGCCTCCCGGTGCCCCCCGAACCCCGAATTTACGTTTAAACAAACCGCGGATATGGAAACCGCCATTACAAACCCCGCTTTCCACAAAAAACACATAACATGGCGGATCGCCGCCGTTCCAATTTTGCCTTGTTCTATGACTAACCCCAAGCCTATCTGCCATCTCCTTTCTCTGTCTTGGGCTGCTCCTCCCGGGAGAAAATTAGTTTTGATTTGCGGACTTCCGTCTTGCAAAAGGAACAGCTGATTGTCAGTTGGCCAGGTTTCCCGCTTCTCCGCGGCAGCCGGCTGCAGCGGCCCGGGGAGGGGGGCCAGATGGATCCCGAGTCTTGGCTGGGAGATGCAGTTCTCCTAAGGACATTGCCCCACTCTCCACCTTTTGCGGGCTCTTGGCGGACCCTTCTGCCCTCACTGATTGACTTGATGCCCTATCATCATGGACTTCTTCCACGAACGCGAAACCAAGCCTCTCGGGGGAGAGTGGCCCCCGCCTGTGTGTGTGCGTGCCCTTGCAAAAGGCTCATATCTCAAGAACTCTGCTGATTGCCCTTACCAATTGCTGTGGTTTTCTAATAAACTTTACTGGGATGGGATGGGGATCTTTCCTATGAAATCTATGAGTTATGAAAGCCTATGAAGAAAATGTATATATGAAGCATATGATATATGATGAAGTGAAATGAAATGAGATGTACCCTCACCCTCCTTCCTTGCCTTTTCCCCTCTTGAACTTTACCCTACTAAAGTATGTGGCCTGGGGATTACAGTTAAGGAATCCAATTTCCTTAGAAGAAACTCCATTCATATTGACATTGCATGGATCAGGGCTGGCAATATCTAAGGCTTTGTTTTCAGAGTCAGACAAACAGAGCCAAAGATTTGTCAGCCGAAAAGACCCGGAAAACGGACTGATTAAATCAATCATGGTATTTGTGTACGCTCCTTTGTGACAAGGGACCCCTTTTGTCCACAAGGTTGAGATCCAAATGCCACCCATAGCCCTCCCTTTATGCCTATACACATCTGTTATCGAAACTAAGGAAATCCCTTGTTTCCTCCGTCTGCCTCCCTGCCGTGTAAGAACAAAAGGTCATCAATCAGCTGGCGGGCGCCTCCCAGGCATTCCGCCCCTCTGCGCTGTCAAACTACATCCCGCCTCCCGGCCGCTGATTGGACAATCTCCAGAAGCGCTCCGAGGGCTCTGATTGGCCCCCTAGAGGCGGCAGCGGCCGGCGATTGGAGGGAAGGCGGGACCAGCGGCCAAGCCTCCTCCCAGCTGCTACGGAACCAGCCAATCCGGACAGAGAAAACTGACAGGAGGCGGGCGGGAGATTCAAACTGGGTTTCCTTTGTTTTGCCTGTATAAATATGACTGAAAATCACTGTAATGCATGCTTATGGAGGATTCATCCCTGTAACGCATCCTTTTCAGCTGAATCGCTAAATAAACGCCTCGGTCGCAGATTTCTCTTCAGCCTGGTGAGATTGATTTTAAATATTTTTGCGTCTTTTGGATTGGCATCCGCTGGCAGCTCACCAAGGTCAGGACCCCATTAGCGGTCCTCAGGGATCCCCCTCGCTGGGAGGACCCTCCAAAAGGAGCTCGATATC